GGAACTTTGGTGACATTTTGAGTTTGGCATTATGCTAATAGGTCAGAGGTTCAAATGCATTAGGTGTTCCAAGGGAGAAAGATGAGGCTGTCTTAGAAACCCTGTACAGGATTGCTATGACTTGTAATCAACTCAACAGTACCCAATTATTGGATAGAAATTCAAAGACTATGGCCAAAGGGGCCATTTTACTAAGTGTGCAACCGAAATGAGAAATGGAGACAGAGTGAGCACACACTGTAAGAAAAACCGCACTGGCAGACTTGTTAGGTTGCAGGGTGCCATAAGCCTTGACTATGTAAAAAATTAAAAAATCACAGTATCTGCGGGGTACAATAAAATGACTACGTCTGCCTATTTAAGCAGCTGAGAAAATGGGTTCTGAGAAGAATGAATGAAGTCTTTATGAGGAGGCCAGCAGACATGAGAGCTGCAACCAGAGAGCCGGGTTCTCTACAGCGCTCCGGGCTCGGGTCCCAGGCCATCCTACCCTGCGAACCCACCGCATACCCGGCATCGCTTCAGCCGGTTGAGGAGGTGTCTGCTGCCTGCAACCCAAAGTCCTGATGGAGCCATCCACCCAACATGAACGTAACTTCCTTAATATCTGTGACTCAGCCTCCACAGAGCCCATTACAGTGGCTCAAGCATAATTTCTTACCTTAATTTCTCATCAAAAAAAAAAAAAATTTCTCACCTGCGGAATCTTTTGAAAACTATAAAAGTACACAAGACATTCTTATATCAGTAAGTTGGGGGGGGAGGGATAAGATTTGTGTCCATTGTATTAAAAAAGCTGTATTACTGCATAACTTTGAATCCCATCTTGCAACAAATCGTTCCGTTCCTCGGAAACTCAATGTCTGTTTCTGTTTGCATTAATCGCACTATGATAAACATCCAGTTGTACTTGCTTGGGAAATGTTTTTAAGTGTTTTAAAAAGCAAATTGATTTATTTTCCGGAGATCTGAAATTTGAGAACATGCAGTCTCTACTTTCTTTTAAAGCAAGCTCCCACGGAACCTAGTAAAGAAGGACACTCGGAGGACAGAGGCTTCCATGAGTAGCTGACCTCACCGGATCCATTATCTCCTCCTATGTATTGTCAAGCACTAAGAACTCCCGTAAGTACAACTGTGATCAGTAATTGCGCCAGGCCTCCTACATGCAATTATTATATAATGGAGGCTGAGTAGGCACTGAAACCTCATTAACCAGAAGACACAGCAGACACTATTTTGATAAGCTTGCTCCACAGCTCCCATCTGAAGGGTTAACTGCCTTCAACGCTGACCTCTGCGGCGCTAATTCCATATTCCTGGGAGTCTTCAGTTCATTATGCAGACTTTTCCCCAAATCGAATTTAGGATAAATGGTTTTTAGTGGAGGTTACAGAGGAAAATCCCCAAACCCCAAAACCTTGAAACCCCTATTAAAGACTCTATTGGGATAATTGGGCTAAATCCTTCAGCATCCAAGATTTGGCTCCCGAGTGGATTTTGTACCACATTGTCACTGTCTTTCTTAAAAAGACATGCATGTAAAAATTCCTCTTGTACAGTTAACATTAGGCAGAGGTAGACTCCCCTTCATTTGAGTTAAATCTTCTGTTAAATTTTACCTGAGCTCTGTGATACCAGGCAACCATGAGGCCTAGTGTTCAGGAAATGGGCTTACTGCAAATAACTACTCTTTCTATATGACTTAGATAAGACCCACAGATGTTCTGGGCCCAGCCCTGATGCAGACCCTCCAAATGACCAGTCTTTCCCTCACAGATACATGAATAACTGCATTGTTTGTCCCTATCGATCAATCAGCTATAAACCAAACGCTGGTTAAGCGCCTCTCCTTTCCCCAAGCCCCAGACTGGGGTGCTCCTTCAGACTGAGCCAACACACTGGCCCTCTTTAAGGACCCCTCCCACAGACTCGGTGGAGCTCAGGGTAGGACATTCTGATTCCAATGCCCCACCCCTGGTCTCCTTCTCGCCTCGGCCACGCTCCGTCTCAGTAAGGGGAACTCTCTGCGATGCGTGCAGTGCTTTCCCTATTGCCGTCACCCTCCCACCTATCGCAACAGGCCCTGGCCCTTTCCTTCTTTTCCTGAGGAGTCAACCTTCTCCCCACCAAGGCCTGGGTTAGTGTTTGCTTCACAATCCCAGGGGCCCTCCCTCGTCCGTCAGGCCCGGGTCTGACAGTGTGCGGTGGTGCCGACCTCACGCTTCTTCCCTGTAGCTGGAGAACGTGCCGTTGCCAAAGCCCTGACAGCCAAAGAGGTGGAGGGAAGAGCTCCACATGGCAGGGCAGGGAAGAACCTCGTTATTTTACAAATAAGAAAGTGAGGCTGCACACAGATAAGTGACTTGCCCATATCCACAGAGTAAGTGGGCATGACCACTGTACAGTGAACCCTCGTTTATCGCGGTTAATCGGGTCTAGACCCTACCGTGATAAATGAAATTCCGCGAAGTAGGATTCCTTATTTGTAAATCAAATATTTTCGTAGTTAGAGCATAGAAGACATGAAAAAACACCCTTTAGTCACCATTACACTCGTATTACCCAATTTATTAAACGAAAAAGGGAAAATGCAGTAAAACATTTTGGATGTTACAATTATCATTTATTATTTATTATATTATGAAGTACAACGGATGGAGCGAACGGAAGACTCATTCAAGTAGAAATGGCGTGCAACCTCCACGATTTTCTTGCCATCTTTGATCATATCCAAAAGTTTTACCTTTTCCTGGATGGTGAGCATCTTCCTCTGGCGCTTATTTTTATTGTCAGAAGGCTTAGAAGAAGCAGCTCGTTTAGGAGCCATCATAGGGCTTAGATAAAATTTCTTAAAAATCGCAAACAATTACAGTACACTGTACAAAAGCAAAAATGCATCTGATACGTAGCTCCGATAGGTAGCGATGCAGACAGAAGCGTGTACAGTATGAGCCAATCAGTGGCAGTAATGACAGAGCATGTGCTGTTATGCAAAAACCACGATAGAGTGAAGCCGCGGAAGTCGAAGCGCGAAGTGGCGAGGGTTCACTGTACTGGGAAACAAGGGCCCAGGGCTGGACGTTCACGGCATCAAACCCCGTATTTACCAGGGCTAGTATGGGCACTGCAGTCCTGGAATCCCTCTGCTCTCTGAGAGGACAGTAAAACAAAGTGAGACCCAAACGCCCTACTTTCAAATGTGAGGGGGGAGGGGGGGCGTGTCATATCTCATTTCATTCAGGTAGATTTTTTTTCTTCTTAAGGATCGTTTTATAGTTTAGGTTTCAAAAATTGCCACAGAGCTATAAATGGCATGCTGGGCTTGCCCTGGAGGCTAAGTAATATGAAGGTAATCCTGGATCTTCGTACAACCTCAATTCCTGGTCATGAGCTAGGGTAGCTGTTGACTTTGTACGCCCAACCCCAGACGGCATCCATTCACTGCTGACTGAGGAGACACTGCTCCTGTCAAAGCAGAACTGGGCATCACACCGTTTGTAATGGCTGAGTTTGGGGAAGTAGAGGCCAGGCCTTTCCTCCAAGGTGCCTCTGGGTGGACTCAAATCCCCGACCTTTTCGTTAACCATCAAGTGTTAACTATTTGCACCATCCAGGGAGACTCCTGTGTGTGCAAAGCTAAGCCCCCGCCCAACTCCCCTTCTCCGGTAGCAAAGCCTGTCTGTAGTTTCTTGGAAAGAAGGATGGGCATGTGTCCTAGACCTGGCCAGTCACCTATCTCACATCATCACTTGCAAGAAAGAAGGCCAACCAGATTACTTCTCTAGAACTATGGCACAGATGCTAAGAGAAAAGGAACCACTTTCCCATCTTCTACCACTTGGGGAAGGTTGTCCGAGCCTCAGGCCAGCACCCCATGAGAAACAGAGAAACGTTGGTAAGGAAAAAGATATGGCTATGGAAGGAGAGTTGGCAGTCAAATCCGTGGTTCCTGTTCTTTTTTTGGTTCCTTTGATTTTGTACATCTCCCCACTACCCTCCCACACCCTAGATGACCAAGTAGCAGTGCTCCAATTAGTTGCCCAGTCTGTAAATCATGATGGTCGCAGTCCCATCTTTCTTTCAGAGCAGAGAGAGAGAGAGAGAGAGAGAGAGAGAGAGAGTGTGTGTGTGTGTGTGTGTGTGTGTGTGTGTGTGTGTGTGTGTGTAGGGAGGTAGCAGCTTGTGGGTTTCACTCAAATACTCACTGCTTCCAGTTGATGCCGACTCATAGCAGTGTGTGTGTGTGTAAGGGAGTAGCAGCTTGTGGGTTTCACTCAAAAGCTCACTGCCTCCAGATGATGCCGACTCATAGCAACGACCCCATAGGACAGGGTAGGACTGCCCTGTGAGTCTCAGAGACTGCAACTGCTGTCGGGTGTAGAAAGCCCGTCTTTCAAGCCTGGGCCTTTGGGGCTAGCAGCCCACCCCTTAACCCATGTACCACCAGGGCCCCTTATCAACAACACTATCAGAGTCAGCAAAGGCTTTTGCTTATAATAGTTTGAACTGGGTTTCTGTCACAGGTTCAAAAGATCCTGACAGATCCTTACTCCAGGAGATAGGAGTGACTATCATACAAGGATATTAATCATTTTGTTAATTTTTTAATTGAATGCCTTTAACAAGCTCTACCCTTTATTATACGACCCCTACACCAACCAACTTCACAGCTTCCATTACATGCTGGACCCTGGAAGGTATCTGAGTTTATTACTGCTCCCTTGGCTGTCCCAAGGCATTACAAAAATCCCAATATAAGCTTATTCCGGTACCCCCGACAAAGGCTCAACTTAAAATATGTTCCAGGTAAAACAGGTTAAATGAGATTTTAGCTTCTGTAGCATGTCTAAGTTTTAACACGGTGGCATACATACTATGATGGAAAATGTCCCAATTGAAAGCAACTCCAAAACAGATATGGCTACTTCTGAATAATCCAGCAACACAGCTTGACTTTCTATCAGGAGAAATCAGTAAAAACCAGTCTTGGGACCTACCTCCAGTAAGGCTCCAGTTTGGAAGAATTTCAAAGGCTTTTCAATGGAGTAATAAAGGCTATGGTAGCTACCCTTAGCCAGGGACGCTCTCACCATACCAACCGCTATCACGAGCCACCTAAGGAAAAGGAGGAGAGAGATCAGAGGGAGAAAGTCCACCGAGGCAGGCAGGTGGGATTTAAGGAAGATATAGCAACTCATATTTTTAAAATCCCAATATAAGCACCCCCGATGCCCACTAAGCTATTCACAAGTGGTAGCTTAGATTTGTGGACCACAGTGCTGAAGAGCCAGCCCACACCGCAGAGATGTCTTGCCACCCCAGCACTCTGCGCCCTGCTAGCGGTGTGGCAAGCTCGAGGTAGCACCTCTTCCAGCTGGGTCCCAGTTTTTTTGGCCACACTGTCTGTTCAAACCAGGCCAAAATGAAGGGAAGACGTAGAATGGCCCTTCAGCAATGCCAGAGAGTCTTAAGACAGAGCAAAAATTTGGTAAAGGAAAATTTTAAGTGGTCAGCGTGGTTAATGGGGTCTTTCTTAATAAGGAGGTGGGGAAGTTTTAAAGTGTGCAATGCTTAAGAGTCTTACTGGAACATCCCTTAAAATCTATCTTCTTAAAATTGCAAATGAAAAAAGGCTTTTTAGCTGAATTCCCCCAAACTCAAGAGACCCCGCCAGATCAATACAAGACACCCAAGCAAAACACTGAGGCGTGAGAATGTGAAGGTTCACGCTTCCGCTCTCGCTCTGGTGTTCGCCTCAGAACTAGATTTCCCAGGCCCTATCGTCATTTCTCCTCCCCGAGAAGCTCCATGGTCAAGTGAATGGGCCTTAATGGCCACGCTCTGCCTCCTTGGAGGAAATCATAGCTTTGCTACAACTTAGTGAGGAAACGGTGCAGGTGCTCTCGTCGCTCTAGAAAGTATCATTCAAGAACTTCACACGAGAGTTTGAAAAGAAGAAATGGATTCTGTAGGGGAATTTGACATCTCATTGGAGTCATGTGGCAGAGTAAAATTGTGCCCCACGGGCTGTCAGTGGTTTTGAAGAAACAGAATGACAAGTATTTTCTTTTAAGGGGTAGGCTCGAACCTCCCACCTCTTGGTCAACACCGTAGCACGTTAACCTTTTGCACCAGCCAGAGGCCCCAGAAGTTCCAGTATGGAAAAGGTTCGGACACACCTCTTTCCCCCCTACGGGCTCTGTTCATTGCTCAGAAATAAAGACTCTCTGTTCTGACTCACGGTGTTGTAACATTTCTCTCTAGTCCAGTGACCTGGCAAGGACAAGACAAATGTCACATATAAGTACACATAGACTCTTGAGTGTTCTTTAGAAATCAGTCTCTGTGACCAGTGTTGAGATAAAGAAAATTGGAATCTATATTTCCTCACTGGCCTGTGAGTCAAGAGAGAGGTTCTACGAGATGCTAATCTGCAATGAACAAGTTCTAAAACCTTAAACAAGACAAGTCAATCACATTCTATTTTCTCTGAGCCCAGGTTTCGACATTGTTGTTCCACAAACTACCTTCCAAGATACAGAAATGTTTGTGTGTGTGAGAAAAAGTCAAGGTGATGAATCATTAATATATGGCATCACCATTTGCATAGAGAAAGATAAGGGGAGGAAAGAATGCATCTGTGCACTTGCTTATGTCATCATCTCAAACAAACAAACCCAACCCATAGCCAGGTAGCTGATTTCCACGCAAAGAGACCCACTATGGGGCGCGGCGTGGGGTGGGTCGGGAGGGGGAGGTAGACGCGCCACAGATTGTCAATCTCTAGGGAAGCTAACTGCCATAAGGTACTCCCTCTGAGCTGACGACTCAGACCACACTGATGCTTACCACTGCACAGCCAGGGCTCCTAGCCAGTGTCTGAGGGACACACGAAATTAGCTTTGGGGGTGGGGAGCTGGGGTCTATCAAGGAGCCCTGGTGGTGTACTGGTTACTCATTGGGCTGCCAACCCCAAGGTAAACAATTCAAAACCACCAGCTGCTGCAAGGGAGAAAGATAAGGCTTTCTACTACTCTTATAAAAAAGTTAGTCTTGAACTAGAGCACCAGTGGGTTGTCACTCCTTTGGGGGTCCAACGGCCTTTTCACAGGAGTTGCCCCATGCATAACAGTACCAAATGATAGTTACGAAGTAGCAACGAAAATAATTTTATGTTTGGGGGGTGGGGGGTCACCACAACATGAGGAACTGGATTAAAGGTTCCCGACATTAGGAAGGTTGAGAATCACTGAACTAGAGGTACGTTGTGTGTTTCATCGGTGCTATGCTGCACCCTGCCTGACTCGTCCCTTCCTTGTGACCCTTCTGTGAGGGATGTCCAATTGTCTACAGATGGGCTTTGGGTCTCCATTCCGACCTCCATCATTTGCATTGATATATTTGTTTGTCCTAATACCTGCTCCCACTGACACCTTGTGATCACACAGGCGGATGCACTTCTTTCATGTGGGCTCTGTTGCTTCCCTGCTAGATGGCCCAGTTTTACCATACAAACCGGGCTAGACCAGAGCACGTACACTGGTACAGATAAGAGCTCTCGACCGACACATAGAATTCAGGACAGATAAAGCCCTCAGGATCAATAATGGGAGTAGCAATACCATGAGGGTAGGGAAGGTGGGGGCGAAGGGGGAGAAAGGGGGAACTGATTGCAATGATCTACATATAACACCACGCCCCCCTGGGGGGGCAAAAACCAGAAACCTGGGTGAAGAGAAACAGCGGGTGGTGTAAGATATGAAAATAGTAACAATTTATATTTTATCAAGGGGTCACAGAGGGTGGGAAGGTAGGGAAAAGAGGTGCTGATTCCAAAGGCTCAAGTAGAAAGAAAATGTGAAAGCGATGGCAATTTATATACAAAGGTGCTTGATAAAACCGATGTAAGAATTGTTACAAGAGCTGTAATAGACCCCAATAAAATGATTTACCAAAAAAAAAAAAAAAAGTTAAGTTCGTCTTGAAATCCCCGGGGGCAGTCCTACCCTGTCCTATAGAATCACTCTGGGTAGGAACTGACTCTGGCAATGAGGGAGGGCGTCTGAGTGGAAAGGGCAAAGACAGGAAAGATTGTTACCGTAGGATTTGAAATTAGAATCTTGCCAATGTATTAGTCTTTTAAAAAAATACACTGGATGTTCACTATAGAGTTCTTTCAATTTTTCAGTATGCTTGAAAGTTCTCATAATAAAGGAGTACAGAAAAATACACTTTAAAAACATATAACAAAGCGTGTGAGGCTTTCCACTGCCCTACTGTCCTGCAGTCTTGGAAACCCACAGGGGCAGCTCTTCCCTGTCCTGTAGGGTCACCACGTGTGAGAACTGACTCCACGGCAGTGGGTTTGCTGCTCTTCCTCAGCAGAACCACAAGACCAAAGAATTGCAAAGCTGGAGGAACCTTGGAGATCATCTAGCCCAACTCTAGTTTTACAGATGAAAAATAAAGGTCTAGAAAAATAGTGATTTGTCCAAGGAACTGATGGGCTGAAATGAGCGAGAAACCCTAAAAAACCAAAAACATGAATTAACACACTGCCACCAAGTCAGCTCTGACATACAGTGACAAGGTACAACTGCCTCTGAGGGTTTCCCAAAGTGCAAACCTTTACACGAGCGGCTGGTGGGATTGAACTGCTGACCCTGTGGTTGGCAGCCCAAAGCACAATCCACTACACTACTAGGGCTTCTGCGGGGAAGGAAGGGGGGGGTAATAAAGTGGGGTAAAACCTGTTTCCAGAGTCTATCCCTGCCCCCACCCCACCCCCCTTTCCATAGCCGCCCTTCCCATTCCCAGTGTTCCCAACCCCAATCCACTCTACTAAACCTAAATTCTTCTCTGTTCCTGTCGCTGGTCCAAAACTTTGACCGCTTTCTGATGAACGCTCAGCTTGGGTTTTGAAAAGAGCCGCCTAAATAAATGGTCCCTCGGCTGCCACACTCCCTCCACTCCCCGGGAGGGGAGCAGACCGCCTTTCGGACTGGGCGCCCC